ATTCCTTTGTTTCCTGCTGACCAGATTACTGTAATACACTTTGGACGGGCCTCTCACATAAACTCAAAGTGGTAGTTCAGCTTATTCAGGATTTTGTGGCTGGAACCATAACTGAAACCAGAGGGGAAACTTGTTAATCCATTTTTGGCTCTACTGTCCAGGACTTTTAGAATTGGCTTTGAGGTATTTTTTCTTATATTTACAACTCACAACGGTAAAGTTAGCTTGTGAACTCTAAATGTTCATCAAAGCCTCCTAGAACATTGTGATCACCAGAGACAAAAATGCAATTTGCTAAATGTGACCCAAACCTGTGGACCTTACTTGTTGGTATTAAGGAGAACGATGTTAGAATGAAGTGTTACCTGCATCTGCCTACTTTGTTGAAACATTTTCTTTCAGTCTGTTTGCATTAATCATAGTCTTTCTTAACGTAAACTTTAATCAGATTTGATTAAAATTGTGTTTTGTAACGCAAGTTGTGTTTGTATAAGGTGCTATATAAATTTAACATGTACTTACTAATTTGCAAAAGTCCTAATGAATTGTTCATGATTAATTTCTATTGATATAGATCATGTTTATACCGTTTGTTGTGCAGCCCTCGTTTCACATATCACAGTTTTGCAAGTCATATTAGAAAAAAACTCGGTTTGGACCAGGCTCACATTGCTAATGCTCAACACAAGTGCCTGCCAGGTAGCTGTTATTTGTTGCAATAATAGTAGCTGAGTCTCATAATTGCAGATAGTTGTGATGTGCACTGTTATTTTTCTTTTTTAATTCCAGTATTAAAAGGTGTGCCTACTGTATATTTTCTGATTTTCTCTAGACTTAGGCGGTGCCTCTCATTATAACACAACTCACCTTGATTAAAAAATAAATCAAATCCTTTTATTATTCTGTTGTACCTTTTTTAATGCTGTATGGGATTTGCAGCTTCCTCCAATGCGATCCTATTATCTGCCCCTTTTAATGAACAGCAGGAGAAGTAAGGCAGTCCTTGAAGCTTGTGCTACAAAACGGGCTGTTTGCGCTCTCTGTCAAAGTGTTTTATTGATGCACGATACTCCGAGAGGCGAGGCAGATAATAGGCAGGCAGGGGGCAACTCTGTGGCATTATATTGCCTCTGACTGATTTATATCGGCAACATGCCCTCTGTAAGTCTCCCCCTCACACCCTCACTGATGTGATTTTTACAGTAGTGACATTGATCCGGGCCTTCTTTGATCTTGCTCTTAGCTGTTGCTATCTCTCTCTGCTCCCCAGTGGCCACACTCTGCTGCTTTTTAACCCCAACTACCCCTTGTCTCATCTTATAAGTCCTCCATCTCTCCTGCCGATCCTTCCATCTCTCCATCTCGCTGGAGGATCTGTTTGTATATAAGTGTTTGTTGGCTCTTGGAAACTGCTGTTCAGCTCCTCTGAGGTGCACTGCTGAAGAGGCGACTCGTTGAACTGGACTCTTATCAGCTTTAACTCGGCAGGTAGCTTAGATGAAATTAGTGGGGATTTAAAAGAAATGAAAAAAATTACAATTTAATAGAACATAATTAAATACACAGTCGCAGTCAAAGAGCAAGAGGTAGGATAATATCAACTCTCTGATCCTAACTTCCATGTTTCTTTAGGTCTGGCCTGTTTTCCACTGCCTCTCTAAGTACTAACAAGTAGTCAGTAGCTGCACGGTGCTTGATAGACGTTATAATTTTCAATGCAGCAGAAAGTAAAGAATATTCCCATATCTTTGGCAAAATATGTATCTGCATATTTATTTATATTGAGCTTAGAATGTTTACAGGCTAAAAAGTGTCTTTTTTTTGCTTTGATGCATTTTTTAACATGAAAAAAAAACAACAACAGAGTTTCTACTGTTCAAAGTTCCAGTCATTCATCAGTCGCGCACAACAAAACTGGCCAATTGATGATTCCATCACTCTTCATAAAAAATGTGGGAGCAAAGACTAAAGATACGACTGCAGAGACTGGAACAATGTGACACTAAGAAATAATTTAGAATGACTTGTAGTCATTTTTAGTCATAAATAATTATATTTACAATTTTCCTCTGTAGCTTGGAGAAAATTGCAAGAACAGTGTGACAGTTTCACCAGACTATTACTACAACACTGTAAAGAAAAAGAAAAAAAAGAGCCACCTCTAATTTACAGTAAAATACCGGCAGCTGCGGTTGCCAGAACTTTACCGTATGGTTACCGTAAGATTTTTATGTAAAATTTTACTGTATAAAATTTACCGCATAAGAAGATGTACCAACTGTTGTTCGACTCCAAAGACTCATTTGTTTCTCAGCAAAAACCTTCAGGTTACAGTTTGTATCTTGTTCATTTTCTCATAGAAAACAAACAAGTAATTTGGTTTACGTTGTACAGATTAACTGCAATAAGGCTCTACTATCAGTCACCACAGTTGATACAAGCATTTTGTTTAAACGTGCCTATGCTCATAATAGTAACACATGTTTTCCAGTGCAGGTAAGATTACAGGTTTGATACCTGAAATGATTGAATACATTTTTCCTGCACACTCCCTGTTATCTAATCTTACTATTAAATTGACCACATTTTATTTTCTGACTACCCTTAACACAAAACGTCTTCGCTTTATGCTGTTCAAGCTCTCTGATGAGAGTTTTACATAAAATTTCATTAGGCACTTATTTCTTTCCACGTGTGTGTGTACTGAATATTCCCCTTAGAGCTCACTGCATAAAATACGGTTTTTGTTTTGTGTATTGTGCAACATCACATGTACAGTGGGAATCCTACTGCCAGCTTTTTATCTTTTGAAAGTCATTTACTTTCAGATTGCTCTAGGATGATGCCCCCAGATGCCCTCCTCCCCCATTATCCCTTCATCTCAGTAAACTTGCTTTTGTTTGGAAGCGTAAAACACTCCAAACGCATCTTTTTAAGTCTGTTACATTCCTGCTCTCAGAGTTCTTTCTCTTAATTTGCATTTGCACCTCCCTCATGGACCGAAACTCACTCTTGTTCTTTATGTTTTTGGTTTTTTTTGGTCCTGGTTTATTTCTCCAGGAAACATGAAAGAAACTTTGTTGTTCTTCTAATGTTATATTTAAAAAATAAAAAGTGTTAGTAAATGACATAATGAGAGAATGTGAAGGAAGGTGAGTGGATAGCAGAAGGTGAGTTTTTATCTGTCTTTGTTCTTAAAAGAAAGACATAAAAAAACAAAACAAAGAGCTTTGAGAAAAAGACAAATCCAGGAAGGGTTTTAAGTGAGCTGAGAAACACAGCAGCAAGAGAGAGAAAGAGACACTAGGAACAGAGGTTCGATCTTCATTTAATAATTGAATAATAATCTCCCTTGAGACGTGACCTAGAACTGGCAAACAGGGAGAGAGGCTAAAGATTGTGCTCTGCTGCCCCCTTGTGACTTTATCCTGTCACTGATCGAACTTTTGAGTGAGTGAGTGTACAGATGATCATCGATGTGTGTATGATTTACAACTGCAAACGGTCTGTGTCACACAGATATGGGCCTGTGTATCTGTGACGGGGAGGGAAAGGAAGAGGCTTTTGGGTGACAGGAAGGAATCTATTTTACTTTGTCTCACACTCACACATGCACACACCCACGCAGCTTCACAATCAGACCTTATCTTTCTGTCAAGCGGAGCCTTTTTTAGGGTTGACGCTGATATATGAGCTGGGAGGATGGAGAGGAACGTTGCCAGAACTTTGACGGCTGATGCGAGCACAGCATTTGCACTCTGGTTGATGTACGAGCGCAGGGGTTAGGGGACAATGCAGCGCTGACACCAGGAGAAGAAGCTTGAGGCCCTGGGCCCTTGAGTCCATCCTGAAGAGGAAGCTCTATGTTCTTTAAATACAATAGCCCGGTGGAATGAACACAAACACACACCTGCTTTGTGTTATTAATATCTGGATAAGGTGAAGGCATCCCTGCAGAAAGAATGCAAACACTACATTCTGATGTATTTGCATCATGTCTAACAGCTGACTACATGGGTAACATGTGTGTAGCTGAAATTGCTCAAATCTGTTAGAATTAAAACTTTTGTTACTGGTTTGAAGATTGAAGGATACTACATATTAAAAAAGGGGTGTAGCATTTTATGAATATGTGCAGTGCATCAATACTGACAGGTGATACTGGAAGCTCCATGTTTTACGATGGGGGAAGGAATTTTCAGGGTGATTTACAGTGTTCATTTTCCTGCACACACTTAGAAGTGAGAAAGTTTCATTTTGGTGTCATCTGACCAGGGAGTCTTCTTGTATATGCTTGCTCTGACTCCTTCATGATGGTAAACTACACTAATAGCAGTAAACTTGATTTTTTATCATTTTCTTTTAATAGTTGACCTTTCAGAAGACTCTTCCACCTCAGCTCTGGGTCTCTGCAGCAGCTCCAACATTATCACATGCCTCTCAGCTGTCTCTTAATTAAAACTGCCCTCCCCTGCTTCTATACTACATTCAAAGTTTAACATTGTTGTATAATCCATTGCTTATTGAAGCTTCTCCTTAACCTGTCTGGTGTGTGTTTTCCATGATGCTTCCTGGTCACTAATGTTCTCCAACAGACATCTGAAGCCTTCAAAGAACAGGTTTATAAGCTGGTTGCAATACTGGTTTGTTGCATAAAACCTCACAATATATAAACATTTTTAGGGTTGTGAATAGATGTAATTTATCATGTACATTGATTGCATTAGTACCTATTAGTTTGCAAATTGAAAGAATGGACCAGACTCGTCGAATATCTTGAGTGATTAGTTTATTCAAAATACTTTGAAAAAAGAAAAGGTTATGCCTACATAAATTGTGGAATAATTTATGTAAATTGACATATTAATTTTATGTAAATTGTTTTTGGTAAGTAATTTTTACATAATACAGTAATTTTATGTAAATTAACATAGCTTAATGCCAATTTAGATACTTAATGTAGAATTTCATACTCATTGTTGCTTTTCCTGTTTGCACAGTCTCCGCAGGGAGGGTTACACGATGCAGGTGAACGTCAACGACTACCTAGACATCTACTGCCCTCATTACAATGACAGCCAGCGCATGGTGGGCACTGGAGAGCAGTACGTCCTCTACATGGTCAGCTACCGCGGTTACAGGAACTGCGACCCTCAGCTTGGCTTCAAGAGGTGGGAGTGCAACCGGCCCCACGCTCCCCACGCACCCATCAAGTTCTCGGAGAAGTTCCAGCGCTACAGCGCCTTCTCGCTGGGCTACGAGTTCCACGTCGGCCAGGAATACTACTACATCTGTGAGTGGAGTTGAACTAGCAACCTGCACCGGGAATATGTCAGTATGACTGATGTCCTTAAAACGACAGAAAAAATTATGAATTACTGAAGGTTTGAAGAGAAAACTGTAAATTGAGAGGAAGCAGTTGACAAACACTTAGTTTTGAGATTAAATAAACTAATCCTACATGCAGGCATACATTTTATAGACACTCATATTAGTTTATGTAAATTGACATAAAATCATCATAATTAGTTAGTCTTTCTTATGGTAATGCTGCTATTACCATAAGTGTGCTAATTTCACACTTGGAATTCCTTGAAAAAAATGCATCTTCAGATTAATGTGTTCTTAGTTCCCTGATTGGAAAATATATGTATATATGAATTTTAATACATGACCAAACGATTACTGTTTACTACAATTGACTGACTAGAATTATCTGAATGATATTGTTGCATTACTAACTTACTTAAATGCTCTAAAAATTATAATCTGGCTTAGAAATGTGAAGTTTCTCCCCAAAATCAGCTCCAAAATCCAACATGGCACGTATAAAGCCTCGTCAGAAAAATATTCTGTTAGATTCTGTTATTTCAGGATAACAAATTACTGCTTCACATCTAATCACGTCACCTTGCAGTCAAGCAGCCTCATTCATTTTGTTGACTGCTCATCAAATTAACTCGCTGCACCTTGTGCCGAGATGACACCGTATGAGTAATGAACTTTGGGTCTCGTCAGCAAACAGTTTGACAACAAATGTCATAAACAAACTTCTATAATCAGCGCCGTGCCCGTTCAGCCCACAATGCTTAATGGAAGATGTCTCCAGAACGTTCTGCTCTGCTGCGCAGCAGTAAGAAAGCTGCTCTGCTCTGTCACAAACAGAACGATGCCTTGATCTTTGTTCAGTTTTCCACTGGCTGTTGTTTCCAAAACCTCATAATTGACTTAAAATTATCCTTATTTTTTGCATTTTTGAATGAGTTGTTTGGTTAAATTATTCATATAAAACATTTCTAAGCTTTAAGAGAGTATGTGACCTATTCTTAAATTCTAAAAGAGTCAGCCTGGCATTAAACAGACACCAAATGAGCTGAATAGATTTCTTTTACAATTGTTATCATTCTTAAAATGTCACATGAAGAAAAGTAAAATAATTTACTTTTCCTATTCTTTTTTAAATTATGGATCCATATTTTACTTCTTACTGTAAAACAACAAAGTTATTTTGATGGTTTTATACTTATCGTTTGGTACAAATATTTCATAGACGGAGGTGGTTCTTGCATTAATGGTTTTCTGGGCAACCACTCTTTCCTCCTCATCCCAACCAATCAAAATCTAGGAAATCCTCTCAATTCTGTGTCAGAACAAAATGTGCCAGGGTCCCATAATCTTCCTTTTTTTCTGCAGCAAGAACCAACAGCCGACTAATCACAAATTCATAAAAACTACATAAAGCTTTTAAAAGATGGAACTAAAATATTTGTTTTATTTGCTGCTGAAGGTCTCAGTAGAACTTGATGACCAACTGAGGAAGTAATTTAGCTTTAGTTCACTGGAGTTGACCACACTTATTTTAGCATACACTACACTGAAACCTGAAGTGGCATCCAAATTTACCCTTTTATTTACTAACTGAGCCACGACTGGAAGCTGGGGGTTATTTTTGCACATTGGGTAAAAAAAAGATTCAAAGCCTCAGTTTTTCATTTTAAGCAATGCATCTTGTTTTAATTTTAAATGTTTAATCTATATTCTCTTAACTGTTTTATTGATTGCAGCACATTAAAATTTCTATAAATTTAAAGTGCATTATAAATGAAATTCATTAGTGTTTTTATTATTAAATAGAGTAGCAGTGCAATATGTGGTGTGTTCCCTTGGTATTAAATTAAAGTCAAACTTAAACAGAAGAGTACGACATTGTATTAAAACCCTAATAAGGGTACTTTTTACTGTACATAACGTCTGCAGTTAACAAGAGGAATTCAACTTGTCTCTTGTGTGTTCACCGTTTTGATCCGCTGTGTGTTTTATGTTGCACAGCCACACCCACTCACCACCATGGACGCAGCTGTCTTAGACTACGCGTGTACGTCTGCTGCTCCACAGGTATGCCCCATGTTGTGTCTTTGTTTGTATGCGGTTTGACCTTTGTTGACGACTTTGCTGCAGATTTTGACCTGTGGACAGCCATCTGTCAGACCACAGACCTTTTTTCAATCTGAAAAACACTGCAGTCCCCTCTCTTAGCTCCCCATTGTCCCCTTTTTCCTTTATCCCCCTCTTCCTCCTCCACAGAGAGTAGTTTTTGCTTTAAAGACTCCATCACCTCCGCCTCCTTCCTGTCCTCTTCCCCTCTCTTTCCTGCTCTTTCACCCTTTCTCCACTGCTCCTTGTCAGAATCCATTAATTGCTCTGTTCGGTCAGTGGGTGGCTATGTATACGTACCGTTATGCTCCCCCTCTCTTTTGCGCTCTCTCTCTTTCTCTGCTGCCACCTTTCAGTTTCTCCGCCCACTCACACATGCAGTCACACACACTCATGCTCGTGTACACACAGCCTTTGATCCCTAGCCTGTCCGGTCCTTTTAACTTCCACAGCCTATAGTATTAACCTCTCCTCCCTCCTTCAACTCTGCAACTCCATCCCTTTCTTCTCGCACACTGGCCCTCTTCAGTTTTGATCTGCCGTCCCTCACAGCCCTCTTTCTCTCTTTCCCATCTCTTTGTTGAAAGCTCTGCTGATGTTACAGCTTGTCAGTCTGGTCTGCTCTGGGCTTTTTTAACCTCTGCACCCTTGTCTTGCCACTCTTGCATGTTCCCCCTCAAGATGTCAGAATGGATGTAATTAAAATCCTTTAGGCTGGAACAGTAGTTTAAACCCTAGCTCTCTGGTCAGCTGTGATTTAGTTTCACACAATTTCTTCTGTTTTCTCTCTCTCTCTCTCTCTCTCTCTCTCTCTCTCTCTCTCTCTCTCTGTCTCTGTCTCCCTGCAAGCCTCTGATGTGGATGATGAGCCAGAGCCCACAGAACCAGACTACACGCTGAGACCAGGCCTAAAAATTGATGATATTGGTAAGAGTTTGAAAGCATACTAATGAAATTAGGTTAGAGTGTAATATAAAGATGTATGCTCATGGCATCTATGCAATTTGATGCAAAGAGTGAATGTAAATTAAATTTCAGTAACATTTGTAGTCTATAGCATTGTGTATATATAGCAAGATGGAAAGCATGGTTGTTACAAAGCATGATAAATAAATAAATACATACAAGTGAACTAGAGAAATACTTATGGTGCGTGCTATTAATATGTATATAAATATTGAAAACATAAGTATGATTAAAGAAAATGAATGCTTTTGCACACAAGTCTCCTGGATTATTATTAAATAGGTCACTGATATGAAACATCTGAGTGGCCGCACACATTTAACGAGGGTGAAATGTGTCATTTTCCAAAATGACATTCATCCCATTTAACTTCACAGCACCAGCTGGCTCGTCAGGGAACTGATCTTGCTAAGCAACTCCATGAATATTCATTTTACACCTCTTCTGGATATCTCCAGACTATTTGCAAAGTACATACAGTTTTGCGATTATCACACAGAGAATAGTGTTGAAAGAAATCCTTAAGAAAAAAAAAAGCTGATTCAGATCTTATGTATTCGTCTTATGTATTCATTTAACTTTCCCTTTTAGCTTTGTTTTGGTCAGTTTTAACTGATAGCAATTATAGCAAACCTATAATTTACAGTAATCGTGTTTCCACATGGACTGTTTCTTGGCAGTTGTTCTGAATCCCCACTAGTGCGCATATTTGGACTGATAATATTTGGGTCAGGCAACAGCTAGGACAGCTAGTCATATATTAGGATCCTTAATGTGCTATTTTGTGCAGAGTTATATGTATAATTACTCTATGTATTCGCTGATCTTGTGTTGCAGAAACCATACCATATATCTGTAATTTGAATGGACAAACCATTTGTCATTGTATTCCTGCAATGTCAATTTGTTGACACTCAAAAAAAGCCAAAGACAAAACAGCAACTATGTATAAGAACTGTAAATAAATACGCTGTGTGAGTGTCAGGTAAGGAACAATAAACATAATAATTAATAAATTCATCATCAATCAATAAAAGTAGGTGTGTAAGAAACTCTGGCGTCATGGATAATAAGGTTTACTGTTTTCTTATGACAACAGCACCTCAACTGGAACCAACATGTACACCAAGCCCAAATGTTACACAACCAGAGTACAGAAGTAATGCAGCTTGTAAAACATGTTGCTTTGTTGCTGTGTGTCTGTGTGCACATTTGCATTTGTGTAATAAATCAGTTTGTTCTAATAGCCGTCAGGAGAAAACTCCCGACTAGCTGCGACAAACAGCTCCAGGTCATGCCAGTTTGTTCAAATTCCTCCCCGTCTCCGTTTGCCCTCCCATCACTCTTCAATCATGTTTTCCCTCCATCTTTTTTTCCTCCTTTTTTGCCCTCTAATTCCCATCTTACATTTTTCCCCTCTGAAGCACATGTAGTGGTGCAGTGATGAGGAAAGTCACCTTAAATCGGTTTATTCACCTTCTGATGTGTGAAATTGAGTTTTTCCCTTTTAATACACATACACACACCCACGCACACATATATGTAAATAGATGCAGTTACATTTATCAAAGTTTTTCTTTCTTTTTTCATTTTAATACCAAGTCATATGTTGTAGGAAAATGTATTTGCTCAGCACAATAAATATTTTTCTTAATTCATTTGGCAGCTCTTTTAAGCAATTGGTATATTTAAAACACAAACTTTTTATATATATATAATTGTGACAAGTCAAAAATTGGACTTTCAAGCATTAATTTATTGCATTTTTTCTTGAATCCAAATGGAGTCAAATATATAAATATAGAATAAAATATATACTTACAACTCACTTATTTTAATAAATGGTTTTCAACTAGTTAAAGAGAAACTAGAAAGGAAACTGTATCAACTCACATCATCCAGCTGTGGGGCAGGTTTCTTTCTTCTTTATTATTTATTGTGTTTTAGGCAATGTATCAGTACCAATGGCAGTGAAAAAGACTCAAATCATAATAACATCACCACCATTCTTAACAGAGTTCTTTGGCTTTAAAAATTCAAAATTAGACCTTAAAATATAAGAATGCAATTTGTGGCCAACACTTCTGATGTAGCTTCCAGCTACATTTTGTCAACTTTTTCACTTTTCTTTTTTTCTTTCTTCTTTGCTGATGACCTTTTGATGTAGAATAATGAAAGAGGAAAACTATTTCTAAACTCCTCAAGTTTATCACATCAGTGGTTGAAACTTGGACACATGGATTTATGATATCCATTTCAACAATGAGTGCATGTAAAACTTAGAATGTACTTTAATTTCCTTCTAAGGTGTTTTTCCATGAATTGCTGGAAACTTGTAAACTTAAACTGCTGACACAGAAGCTGAGTACAGTTCAACGAGGCTTTTATATGGGCCAGTCTCACCTGAAGTTTTATGTCCCTCATTAAATAAATAGCTTCAGAGGTATAAGAGCAAGTTATAAAATCAGATGGGCATTTTTAAGTGAACTGCAAACAGAAATGTAGTTGCTTTCCTGTTCCCCATCCCTGATTGATGTTTAGATTCTTCACATCACAACTGGTACTCAGGCAGCCCTAAGTGAACTTCCCTGAATGTTGTAAACCCCCCCATCTCTTTCCCTCATTCACTGCTCGTAGTTTATTTCCTGGGCGCTCAATCAATGGCCACAGCTCAACAGAGTGTCCCCCCTGAATATGCCCTGTAGTATTAGATTTCATTTAGATCTCATTTACAACAGAGATTGCGACTCCCCGTACAGCCATGTGATTACTGATAGCTTTCCGTGGGAGGCGGCTCATTTACACATTGTGTTGGCGGAGGTTACCGCAACTGATGATCGAGTCCGACCATTAAAGGCGAAATTTGAGCTCTTTTCTTTAATTCCCATTTACTCTGGCAATTACAGTTTCTCTGAGTAATTTGCGTGTTTTGAGGTTGTTAAGCATTCACCCGTTATTAATGTTGTTGTTTTTTTTACAGCTGTACTTCTCAAAAGTTTTAACTCTACAGATGCACCATATCATGTGCATCAGAAAAATACAGTCCCATTATTTTCTAATTAACCACTCAAACAGCAACCTTTGAGCCACAGCTACATAGTGATTATAAAGTGCTTTTCACCAGCCTCATCATTTTACCTTCACTGTGAAACGTCCTAGAGGCTGACAACGTTTCTAAATCCATCATGTATCGTTACAGATGCTAAAAGCTCAAGAGAATAGAAACCTTCTGTTATCTGCTAATGCTGGCTACACATCTGTTTGCCTCCACCGATTCAACAAAACAGCCAAAAGCTGGCTCTGAATTGATGGCATAGGTGGGTAAAGTACCCAAAAACTGAACTTAGGTATAAAATAATACAAAACAATAAACTAAGGCAAAAAACCCCCTCTTTCCTAAGTTATATTTTAAATATATGTCTTATTAAAGTAATGCAGTGGGCAATTTTGGTATTTTAGAAGAGGATAAAGTGCTTCCACTGACAGTAGTGCTGTTTTCATAACACTTTTGGTTGAGGTAAATTTTGACATGGCTTAAAAGAACTGAAATTTATTACATTTTTCAAAGGCAAATAGTTTCCTTTTCACTCCATGCTCCAAACTGAAGTACTGAAATCATGAAAATCTGCATGAGCCTTTAAGACAGTCACATTATGTTCCAATCTAGAATTGATAAAGTGATTTGTAAAGTTTTCTGTTGAAAACATACTGTATCTCACACGATATAATCAAGCGGAAGAAAATGTTTTCCCTCGATCTGTTTAAGACCGTTGTATATTTTGCCAGATTCGAATTTCAGATAATAAAATATGCTTTATCTTTTTAGTTCTGGCGATGCTTCTTCCTTTCAGAAGCAAGTACTGGAGAGGTAATTTGTGAAGAAAAAACATCTACAAAAAATCTACAAGAGCTCAAACAAAAACTCTAGACATACTGGAAGACGACTGAAAAAAAAAACACTTTAAAGGATAGTATAAAACATGGTCTTATGAAAGGAAGAACGAGATTTTTCATAGGTTTATAGAATTACTGTAATGCTGTTTTGCTAACACCTATTTTCTGGTTAAATTTTGACATGGCTTAAAATGCAGAATGTATTTTTCAAAGCTAAATTAGAGAACAGCTGAAATTGTTGAGAAAATGTAACCCTGGACATCCAATGTCTGTAAGAGACCATCTATTGAAATCATCGTCAGAAGAAGTTTTATCAGGTTTAAATTGTTTCTTGGGATAAATATAAACACATCCAAAGGCTCTATTCTGTTCAGCTTGTAATTCAAGTTTCAAAAAGCTGCCCAGAGTGTTTACCACTTTCCCATTGTGTTACAATTCATTAAAGACCTGTTCCCTTATTTGGACATTCGTTTATTTAGAACGCAATTTGTCATTTTTTTCTTTTTGGAATTGAGCTTAAAATCACAAGGAAATATCATTTTAAATGGTTGTAAACTTTAAAGGTTTCAACAGAATGAGTTTAATTTGGCCTCATTCTGTGCTAATGAGCACAGAATGAGGCTCATTAGCGCAGAATGAGCCTCATTCTGTGCTCGTTCTTTGTAAAGAGTCTCTTTGAGACTCTTTGTAAACTCAAATCCGTCTTTCTACCAAGCGTCCTAAATAATACTCATGAAACTCTTGTGTGTCTCTTTTTTAGAAATGTACAAAGTTTGAATCTCTGACTGGGTGCTGAGGTCATGGTACAGCAAAGAGAAGAATATTGTTTCCACCAAGGAGTACATTTCCAAATTAATTTCACATATTTACAAAAAAAAAACAAAATTATCTTTTGAAATTTTACAGTCCCAAAGTTGCATATAAAAACCTCAGATTTTTGCTGAAATTATTAACACAATTTAATAAATTAAACTACCCTAAGCCAACTGCGCAGCACGTTAACTAAGATGGAAGCAGTAAAGTTATGAGATGCATGTGTGATTTAAAATTAATATAGAAATTTCTACATTGTTTTGGTAATCATTTACTTCTCTGTGGCCATGTTATTTGTATTTTAAATAACAGAGGTGCTAAAACTCTGTCATATATTTGTCATAACTTTTGTCTCATGTTAGGACCAAATTCATATTCTGTGAAATATAATGTGTTGTCTTTATATTGATCTACAGGATGTTGCTTTAAAAGTGTGGATATTATATTATCCAGTTGGGTAGCATCACATTAAAGACGCTCTGAAGTGCCTTTCAGCTGTGTTTGTATTTATATCTGTAACTCAATAACTGCGAACGATGCCGATTTATAGACTGCTCTTTATAAGGTCATTTTTAGCTCCTACTTGAGGGGAAGCATCTGTCTCGTGGCTGCATGGTTATTGATCAATATGACACACTGTACATTGATGGTGAATAATTAAACATACAACCGCAACACCAGAACATGTCCTTAAAATAAACGTGCACAGAGCAGTGGAACAACTTTTTCTTTTCTTTTTTAAGAAATGTTTGTCTTAAAAATAAAGAACACTGAGGCAAAAAGCTTGATATTAGAGGTATTTCATAGGCAAATTCAAATGTATTAACCTGATTTCAATCTTTGAATGTAAACAACAATAATATATATATTTATATATTTTCCAGAAACCATGATGGTTTTCCGGGGCTACTTTTCTCCTCTCATTGTTTTCACTTAAGTAATAGAAAATTGTTATGGAGGCTGCATTTTATACTGGTTTGGAATCACTGTGTGATTTGCCCTATATGCATCTGCTCCATCCTTGAATGAGTTTGTTTTCACCCAGTCACATTGTAATATAAAGCTATGTATCATTTGCAAAGCTATGGAAACTAATCTTGTTACTAGTTATAATCTGAGATAGTGGCACCATGTAGTTTTTGAATAAGTAGGGCCCCAAAGTGGAACTGTGTGATTTTTGCCAGCTTCGATGGAAAGTATTCACACAAAGACCCAAGCAGTTCACATTCAGGCTCAATGCTGTTTACATCAACAGTAGATCTTTTTACAATGCCACAAGGTCATTGTGGCATGCAATGATGTCTATGCAATGATGCATAGACAGCTCACAACACCGTCTGCCAGTACTAATTCGTTGCCTGTGACAGACAGGGCCGTGTGTGTCAGAGTAATGAGGCATAGAGCCAGATATTAGACTAGTTAAGCAAGATTCTCTCCTGTCTGCTTGTTGTCTATTTAAAGTCAAATTCCTCTGTCAGTAAGCTGCAGAGAAACACAGCGAGGTAACAGAGTGTCCTGACTCCCTCAGCTGCATGCTTGGACAAAGCATTTAACCTGAGGGCCACTGCTGCATGGACCTCATTAGACTGCCCCGCCGAGCACACCAGAATAGGTCGGCGCTAAAACCAGGTGTCAGCCGGTCATTACTGTGCTGTTTGACCCACAGGGTGGCTGGAAATATTCTGGAGTTAAATACAGTGTCGGGTGGAGAACACTGAGAGCATCACCACTTTTTCCTTATCTCTGGACCGCAAACAGAACCACTAATCAACCTCAGCTGACTTTTGTGCAGACGAAAAATTGTGCTCCTGTCTCGCCTCCGTGCCCATTAATCAAGTGACGAGGGTGTGTCTGGCTGCACATGTCTCAAAGGTGTTGGCATGCAGCGAAATGTCTGCGCCTGTTTTTTTTTTTTTTTCCTTTTTGTTCATTGATTACACATCAACAGTTGACGTCTAGTCATGAACAAAAGAATACAAAGTATTTTTAGATTATCACCAGGTGTATGTGCCTGGAGCTGGAAGAGGTTTACAGCACTTATTGTGTCTCAGTCCAACATTATTATAGAAATGTGTCACTGCATTAAGACAATAAAGCTCTGAAAACAGCTGCTATAATGTATATGGTATATTTATTAATGTATTTCTATTTGGCAGAGAAGTTTTTTGCCAAACGAATATATTTTTGTTTTCTGATCTGCAATTCTTGCTGCCCATTTGTAACCACATGTAATCAATTTACTTCCATCTGATAACAATAAACACATAATTTTGTATCTACTCACTTATTTGTTTATATGCAAATGATAAGTAAGTACAAATTGAGTAATTAAAAAGTTCATGTAATTGTTTTTTTTCTTAAGCTCTTATTCTAAACCCTTCTGACAGAAGATCAACTGACTCCTGATTAAAACCAATGAAACCACATTTCCTTGCAGTAGACTATATGTGGGTAATAGAAAAGTATTATAAACCAGCTTGTATGAAATCTCACCAAAGAAGGTAGGTACTAACACAAGTTTTAATCCAAAAGTTTCCCTTGCATATGGCTTCACAGTCATGCAAACAAAACTGCAAAAGTGAGAAATTAAAAAGATTCAAAATGTCCACTGGATTTCCTTCAAATTCCTTCAAATGTTACTAATTAGATTTCCCTCAAAATCTCTTTCGTAAATGGCAGTGAGAAAAGGCGCTTTAAGATATTGTTTCTTCTTTCTCTATTTCACAGATGAATACAACCCATTTGTTCCCAAACTGGAGAAGAGCGTCAGCGGAAGCAGTCCATCCAGGGATCGACTTCTCCTAACCGTGACGATGCTCTTCCTTGCTGCCCTCTTCATCTCCTAGCAGCAGGTGTGCCGTCAGCGTCACCATGCCTTTCGGGGAAGACGTTCACTGTCAGCGTGCGGGAGAGCTGGGTCGGAGGGAAAAGCGAGGGCATAAAGAAGCAGGAGGGAAGAGCAGCAGGGTTTTTTTTTAAGCTATACGTTTTTCAATCGTCAACATGCAAATGAGTTAGTTTGGGCAGCTGTGTTTTTTCAAGGGAGCACCGAAAGACCTCGAGGGACTCGGTGACACAGACCGAACTGTTAAGTTGTGCTAAACACAGCCTGTTCTTGCAGGTGCAGGTGCCGTTGACTGTGTTTTGTTTCTGTGTGCATCTGCTTGCCTGTCGTCTGAGCAGGCCGCAGGGTGAGCTTGTTGAATCACGCTCACCCCTCAAAGCATTTATACAACCAGAGAGGAGGAGCTAAAACCTCCACTTAAAAGAAAGAACTCCAGCCACCCAATTATAAATGATTTGAAGGTTGTTGTTTTTTTTTGGACCTGATTGGCTATAACACTTTCTTAGGGCTAGTTGCCATAGTTTCTTGCACCAAGATGAAAGGAGCAGATTTCAGCAGCATTGAACTGATATTGCCTTTTCTTTTCTCGTTCCTAATGTTGGGAGCTTGTCCTAATCTGCAAAGGAAAATATATAGAACCCAACAAATGATCTGCGCTGCATCTGGTTAGGAAACTAGACAGAGTAGCTAATAGTTTATACACACATCCAGAAAAGAATACCACTGAGCTCAGATGCAAGTGTTTCATCAACCATCTAAACTGTCATCCTACATATATGTCTGATCACTCTATAGAAGGGAAAAGGAGAAAATACAGAGCATTTAAAAGATGAATCTTTTACTATATTGTAATTTTTTGTGGGGGAAAAAAAATTTTTAAATGTGCCATTTACAGAAACTGCAAGGGTTTGTTAGTGTTTTAATTTTCAGAGTTAGATATCATTTCCGTCTTGTTCGTTAAAATACTCAGTTATTCTTCAGACATCTTTGGGGTTAACAAAGCACATGATGGCGACGGAGCAGCCACTCAGCAATACTGCGCCTCCTCATAACAGACTGATCAGACGAGAAGAGGAGGAGCGTGCAGGAAGGAGATTCCTTCACACAGCCACAAGCATCATCAAAGTTCCCCGCTGGTCCAAGATTCCACCATGTTCTCTGTAAACCTTTACATCAGATGTTCTGGTTCTGTTTGAGTGAGAAAATGTGCTTGGCAGTTAAAATAAGTGTTTTAAATGGTACTAACAAATGATAATTTATCCATATATGGTTGTGTTAAAAGTATGGCAAGTAACAAACTTGCCGTGCTTAGAGGCAAACTAAGTGCGACGGTGGGGAGATGCAGCAATTCATTTACATCATTCAGTCGCATCAGAATAGCATTGCAATAGTTACTAGCACCTTATTCACCGTGGTCCCCAATCCTTGATGATCTCCCATAGAGAGTGGTTCACTGTAGTTTCTGGTAACACAGATGGAGGTGATGATTATACTTTTGGTTAAAAGAATGATGATGATGGACTGCGAGCTGATGGCTGGCCCACAGGGTCACTCATCAGCTCACCCACCGGCACATGAGGCATTCAGGTACTCGTGTAAATGTCACAACAGACATCGAATGAAATTTACAAAGTCTTGAAATATACAGAAGTGAAATGTGCTGTAAGAATCATTATAAACTTGAAGTTCTGTTTTTTTTTCCGTTTGTTTTTTGTGATTTGTGTTTTCTTTTCCATTCTTCTGTAGCTGATTAATGAGGTACAGTTGTAACCAGATATTAACACTATGTAAAAAGACGTGTCCAGTTTCTTCCTCCCTGTCTCACATTGAATCAGACAAAATAATTTCTAATTTGGGTCACTTCAGATGAGCAAAGTTCCTCCTATCTACTAAGAACACACACATTTCCTCAATATTTGGAGGAATTATCTTGACTCGGGTCAAATATTTTGGCCATTCTTCAACTTAAATTCCTCAGAATAATTTTCTGGAAAACAGATGCTGACAGAATTGGTTAGAAGTTAGAACTGAGTTTGGCTGCTACTTGTATGTAATTGTTTTAACAGGTGACACCTTTAACTATCTGGGAATCTGTGGAAGTCCACAGCCATCTTCCTGTTATTTTGACTCCTCAAATTTTTTTGATGATATTACATAAGGAAGTTTGTAATTTTATGTCTTGCCTAAATTTCATCAACAGATAACTTTGGCTGTTCTAAATGACATAAAAGAAATCAACTAAGACTGAGAGGAAAAATGGTGGTCTTTTTTTACAGTGTATGTAAATATCTATCTTCAAATGTTTATTTTGGTAATGTTGAGCGGATGATCTACGGTAAAAATGTGCAAACTGAAATGGAGAGAGCCATATGTAAATGTGGGCTGTGGAATATCTCTAACTTATTATTTTTTTGTTGTTGTTTTTATCTATTAACAAGCAACACCTTTGTTGTTTTGTTAAGGGGTCATATTCTGTCTATTGCTCACAAATCAACCATAATCAGTGAAAGTAAGGTATTACATACAACGTACATGTAAATGCAAGATTTGACTCTTTGTCTTTATAATTACTTTAAACACTTAAGCACCTGGGAAAATGAGCTCATACATCAGTACATGGGAAATATATTTGTAGAAAATGAGAGTAGAAAAAAATAAAACTGGGTACAAAACAGGCAAGAATCTGAAAAGGAGCTAATTGGAAAATAGTGACGATGTTAGCCATGATAAGAAACTTTGTGAAATATTTTTGTTCGTAGTTGCTCTTTATAAATTAATGGAAAAGAATCAATACAAACTGCTTAGGCATAATCTTTAAAAAAAAAAAAAAAAGAAAAACTAGAGGTCCATTTCTCTTATCCACTTTTTGTAAAGACAAGAAAACATGTTGTAAGTATGGAAGATGTGTGTTGATTCTCGTAAATCAGGAAATGGCGAAAAGAACCAACTCAGCCAAAATTGACTGCATCAACAGTCACAACAATGACTGAAAAAACACAGAAAATTGCTCTTCCTGAAGCTACTGATATGTAATTCTTCAATCTATAATTTTTCTGACGCAATTGTGTGCTTTTAGTTAAAGAGTCTATTATTATAAAAGTTGTAAAATCTTTAAAGTCTTGAATTTCTTACTGAAGAGTGGAAACACCACATCTAGAAAAATCTAAGTTAAACAGGCAAGAGATTGTGCCTAGAAATGAATAACAAACTTCATCGCACTTATGCGATGCAGCCCATGTGTACATATGGCTCTCAGAGGAAGAGTGAGGCATTAAAATGTTGGGGTCGGAGGGTAGAGCATCACCCTGAAAGAGAAAATCACTCTTCTAGAGGTTCCACTTAAGAACTCAAGACACAAGAGCAAGAGAGTGAATGAGTGAGAGGCAGAACTGATTTCTGTTCATCACTGTAAATGTGTGTGTGGGGGGGGGGGGGATGTACGTGTGTGCGTGTGCGTGCGAGTGTGTTTGCGTGCGTATAAATCAACAGGTAAGAGACTGTGTGAGTCACTGTCTGTGTTTTTGTTCCTTCGCTGTCAGTGAGAATGTGCGACCAAACGTCTGGCAAAACAAAAGCATTTAATAGCGTTGGAAACAACATTTACAATCATGTTTACCTTTGACTGGAATGACTTTAAATGAACTTGAAAAATAAAATGTAAACTGAACAAACCATAACAGAGGTTATAACAGTGATCAAGATAACAAAATAATAAGCTTACAAATGTTACTTTTAAACAAACTGTGTTTGTGTCTTCATTTTTCTCACTTTTTAATCCGTCATCTCCTTCCACACAGTGTCAGTATTTTCCCGGAATATTATACCAGGTATAAAATAAGGTTGAAGGTATTCCAAGAAATTCAAGTCATTTTTTCTGTTGATAATATTGTTTCCATGTATGAACATGTGATTTTCCATATGAAAGTGGATGCATCAAGGCTGTCCCACAGCAGTAATACCTTCACCCGCTCTAAACAGGGAAGAGAATCATTTTAATTGTCAGATGAACATGTGAATAGCAAAGGGGAAACATCATCAGTTATCATCTGGAGTGTCTGCACTGGATAATGAAGAGATAAAGCTGCTCCTGATATAATGTTACGGTAGGAAGGATTGTCTGTAATCTTATGCAACAGGTTTTTGTCAAACAGGTGTGAAGTATCTAAGCCCACAGTAAGACACGAGTACAGCACATACGGGACATCAATAGGACATAATGTTCCGTGAAGAGAAAGTGCAGATTAGAAACTACATTTGGAGAGAAAATGATGCTCCTGTCAGAAGATTATAAACAATTACAAGCAATTTGCACATGACTGTATATTTTATTTTAAATACTTTATTTAGTGAGTGTTTCATTTAGAAGGTTTTCCATCATGGGCCCAGGTTTTAAAGCTCACAGTTTTTCAATATGTTTGAATTCAGGGCTTGGGCGAAGGCCATTCCAGAAGCTTAATGTCAGCATGCTTAATTCAATCTAAAACCAGTTGAGATGTGTTTGAGATATTTGTCATGGTGGATCACCTGTAGCTGTAGGTTTTACTGTTAAGTTTATGATCCTGAAGGTCATTCTCATTCATCATTATTGATCATTGCAATGCACCAATGTTGCTGTCAGTGAAACAGTCAATGATGATGCCATCACCACCGTCCTTGACAGTCGATTCACTGTCCCTGAATATAAAGCCACATCTTTACCACTCAGTACTCTCTCAGCATTTAATGTGTTGATGTTCCAGCAGTTTGCTCTTGTTCTCAGGAATTATTAAAACTGGTGACATATCTGCATAACTTGGACCTTTGATCTTCGCTAAGCTCCACTGACCTTGCTTCTTCAATGAATGTTTGACAGTGATTGCTGTCAAAGCAAGTAGTTTATATGATTCTACCAGCTGCTCTCACTCATGATTCTGAAGTGAGAAATGATTTAAGGATGAACTTCTTGTGAATATGAAGCTCTGAGTTTATTGAAGAAAGAGCTCCACTGAAGCAGCAGGGTATTATGAAGAAGGTGGGGTGGACTACCCATGAGGGAGAGTCGTTTGAGTCAAAGTTCAGGTTTGTTTTCAATTTTCATTTTTAATGAGGTGGAACGGTCTGCTCCCATATTTTTATAGAAAAGCACAGGTGCAGTGTGCTTCACCAGCTTCCCCAGCACACTGCACCTGTTTCCTCAAATGCTCCTTTTGCTTCTTGCCCAAGTTACTGTTTACTTGTTGCTTGAAATTTTTCAAAGCCATTACATCAGATTGCGATGCATTTTAGTTCAATAACAACTACAGCAACAATAAGAAGCAAGATACACCTGTGGGAATTATAAACAAACAACTCAAAACTTTCCAATGAAAATGTCTGAAATGTACAAAAGTGAATCCGTTGCTAATGTAGTCATCCTTCTTTTAACAGTTTTCACCCTTCCATTCATAAAGTCTGACCATTTCTTGAACTGTTGATGATCAACATTTGGTGCACTTTTTGACATAGTGTTGACCTTTTTAAATCACACCTTCCCTAATTACACAGATGCACTTAACCTGCTAAATCTATTACACATTCATCCAGCTGGGAGTTAGAAAATACACCTAAAAATGATATGGTTAAAATATTCACTTGATTAATAATTGTGCTCGCAGTGTATAAGCTTGAGCCATGCATTGTTTTTTTGGTCAGGTATCCTTTACATCCTCACTGTAATACTGAGTAATGACCACATGGTGCCACTATTCAGTCAGAACTTCAGCTATTAGAGCCGTTCCTTTCTGAGCGCTTAACCTCTTTCAGAAAACAAAAGGGCATTAGACCAACAATGGCAGTTGTGTAACTGGAGCTGTTAGATTAAACAGAGATTTATTAAGCTCTGATGATATAACAGTTTAGTTTTGCACATGATGATAAGAGCAAAGCTTTTGTTTTTTTTTTAGCTCCTTCAGAAGTGGAAGTGTTTGTGTGCAGACTGTTAACTTCCACCCTCACAGAGTGAGTGGAAATAAACAGTGCAATGAATACACATCCAAGGTCTGCAAATGACTGTGTAAACTCAAGGTCTTTTAGTCACGGACTTGAAAGCAGCCTTTCTTGCCGCATTCATTTATCACATTGAGTCAGGCAGAGAAGAAACAGCATTTACGTCTTCTGAGCGCCTTTGTACAGAGGGACCGATGTTATGCATGGACAAACCTGTGAATGTGAAGCTGTCGACTGAAGGATTGGTCTGGAGGGGTTCAAAATACATTCACAGGATGTTTTGGAATCTCAAGCATAACAGTGTCAAAAACTGGAAGTTTTGTACATTTTTGCATTGCAAGAACAGCAAAGTCATTTTAGTTGCGCTAAAAAATATGTGGTGTTTGTAAGAACGTATGAAATATAATGAGCATAATGAGCAAACTGAAAACAAAACCTATCAAAAAAATTTATATTCATAGAAATGAAACCAAAATGAGAAAGTGAATGTAAGTATAATTACTGTTAAAGTTTTGTTACAATCATTTTAACACTTTGTGTTGGACTACTACACAAGACTTAAATAAAACTGGGGTTAAGAAGTATTTAAAAGTTTCACGCATAAATAATTCTGGAAGATATCGTATGATGATATGTCAAAATTAAGCTGATTGTTCCCATTCAGAAAACTGTATGCAATAAATTTATTAGTGAATTCAAGGTGAAGCCACACGTCAATGCACTTTATACAGGCTGTGTTCAATATGTCTTGAAGGTTGAAACTCATCACACCTGAGTGATTCCCTGGTAGCATCTGGGGAACATAATTGAGTTTTCAATTGTGGGGAGGTACTACAGCAACAGCTAATTGTAAAGCAAGCCAATAACAATATACTTCTCTCTTTTTATTGCATCTAAATACTAAAAGATGTTCAGTTTTCGCTTTAAAGTACAGAGAGTACCTTGTGTGCTGCTTGTTTAATGCTATACAGATGGCCTAAAATAAAAATAAATTTTATTCCGGGAACTTGGATTGCATTTTATATGTTGGCAGAAATGATCAATTTTCAACTGTAGGGGATTTCTTCCCTTTCAAGTTACAGCTCTGTTCTCTTAATATTTCTAATTAGTTTTCAACACCATGGAAATGGAAAGTACTGAATAACATTCAGATTTCAAAAAACATGTAAAGTTATGGTCTTAAACAGGTCATCAAACGTAGTCATATAATTTTCTTTTCTGCATCTCGAGACCTCATACATGCTGACACACCACACTCCCCACGTTCCCACAAACCCGCCTGTCAGGTATTGAGCCGTGTGATTTGTGCTACCATGAGGCGTGGAGCGTGCTCCTACTCAGCCTTATGCTCCCTCTGCCTAAAACACAAACTGCCTGACTCAAGTGAGAACGTACCTTGCTGTATGACTACCGCGTGTATCTGTTCAACATAAGAGCCACCCCGTCGATACGCATCACTGGCTATGTAACATGCGTAGACCCAAGCGTAAACCCACGTTTATGTGTGGATCTCTGAGCATATGTTTGTGCATGTGCAGGGTGACGCAGTATCTCTGAAAAACCTTTCCAGAAGGTGAGAGCTACTCAGTAACGAATGTCATGCTGCAACCCCTGAAACCAAAAACCGTCAGCCTACTTCATCACCATCGTGATGCAATTATCAGTCATTTGTTGCAGATGAAGCACCAAAGTGAAAATTGTTCTGCCTTCTCAAGAAATAAGTACAGTAAACCAGACACTCCTGTTCAGCCTCCACCAGTATTCTTCACCTACAAATGCCTTACAGAGTTTTGGATATTGAAAACCATCTCTAGCGGTGAATGGGCAAAAAGTGCAGTACGTATTAGGCAGGTCACCAGTCCTTCAAAGTGCAGAGAAGAGACACACA